CCTCCTGCTGCCGTCGATGTCCTCCAGGCCTGGAAAGACGCCCAACGGGAAACTGTCGTCTTGAACGGTCGGTCTTTTTCGGGGGATCCCTCCGGACTGCAGTCCGAAATGCACCGACTGGTCGCCCCCTTGGTGGTGGATTCGGAAACCGCCACGTTGCTCTGTCAAGACATTTTACGGGCATCCTCTAGGACGGCCTCAGGAGGTGAGCAGGGGTTAGGGCTTCCCACGGCGTGCGACGGTGTCAGGTGGAGCAGGCGGGGGAGCTGACAGATGCAAGAAAACTTGCTTCCACCCCCTTCCTATCTTGGGCTTGAGCGACCGAGTTCCTGTTCTTTAACGGCAGACTAAGCCTTCAATGACTGTCACTGAAAGATTTATCACGCGCTTGGTTTCTACGCTGACCACCAACCTCCCTCCCTCCTTCCTTTCCTCCCTTTTTCTTCCTTCCCCAGGCGATTCCTACGTTATTACCACGAGCCTTCTGGTACGGCCAGGCAACCTTCTGACTCCCGCAATGGCCGCCTCTTCCATCCCCATTTCTATCCATATCGGTGCGGAGGAAGGGGTTGTCGACATTGCTGCCTACAATAGCTACGTATTGCACTGGGACATGCTGGAGGACGGAGGGGGGGGAGCCGGGAAGGAGGGGAGGAAGGAGGCCAGAAATCCAAGTGAGTGGGACCTTCCAATGTGGCAATCCTATATAGACGGAGGACGGGAAGGGACAAGCACGAGGAAAAAAATGGGAGGGTTCTTGACGCAGATGCTGCAGGCGTCGGGGGGTAACGGTTTTCAACGGCATGTTCATCCGCGCCGTTATTTTCAGGACCGTGGGAAAGGGCCTGGGGAGGGTGTAGGGACGAGGGAGGAATGCACAGGAACTGAAGATGCTGGAAAGGAAAAGGAGCAGACAGGCGTGGGCTCCAAGAAGGAAGGCGATCAAGATAGGCTTGGAGAGAAAGGGGAGGGAAGAGGGGAAGGGGGCGGAGGAAGGGTGAAGGGAGAGGAGGAGGAGGAGGAGGAGGCGGAAGCGGGGGAGCGGATCGTCCTCCAGACTCTGTTGGAGGTGAGACTCGACGTTTTGACACGCAACAGCAGCAGAAAGATGCGTGTATGGTGCCAGGAAACCGAAAAAGTACCCGGATCTTTCTTGGTCCTGGGAGCAGGGGAGGGGAAGGTAAATGGGACCTATTTTCTGCACGGTTTCCAGGGTCGAGCGCCCTGGTACATGAAGGAGGAGGAAGAGGAAGAGGAGGAGGAGGGAGAGCGGGCAAGAGTGGTGTTGGTGCGGGACGAAGGCTGGGTGCGGCCGAGTCGGGAGGGA